CATTCCACCCCGGTTGGGGCTGCCCTCACCGGTCTGACGCCGTGGCGCCAGACCTTTTCTTTTGAGCCGCAGCCTTCTCAGCATGAAGAACGGTCCTCGGATCCGGCTTCTGCTTTGAAGGCTTTGGCTGCTGTGTTGTGTATGAGAAACTAGCCGGCTGGAGCTGCTCATGCCCAGCAGCCCCAGTGGGTTGGACATAGCGAGGGAGAGATTATCTTGTATCTTTCTCCATGATTCCCATCAAATTGAGCCAGAGGTGTCTCTCAGGCACCACATTTCTTTGGCTGCCATCCCTGAGAGATAAATCTGAGGCCCGACGGAGTTCTCAAACCCCATCGGGCCAACTCCCTCACTTCTGTCCAAATACCACAGCAGGTCAGCCTGATATGCTTGCAGCACTGCTATAGTGTGCAAGCAGGCTCGTGCTAGACCCACTGTCATATATGCTTTTCCCACTAGATTAAAAAATAGTTTTCTTTAATGGTTCAGTGAGAGAAGCCGACGCCTTCAGGGACGATACTGAACCGGGAGACATAGCTCGCAAGTGTCTGTTCTACCCGGGGTATTGCCCCATAGCCATACTCTCTTAACCCCCAAATATCTGAATATACATGAATGTGGGGCTAAAAAATGAGTAAGGCTTTTTCCATGATCTAGACAGCTCGCTGTGCAGATCGGGAAAAATGGAAGGCCCCGTGATGGAGGTGGAAAAATAGAGGGAAGGAAACTCGTTCAATTTATTTTAAGGACGAGTGCCCCCTTATTTCTGCTGGCCATTAAATATTTAATTCATCTACAGCCTCAGTAAACACCTCCACCAGCTTATTATTATATATATATATTTTTTATATACATTCTTTATATATATACACTTTATTTTATATATAATATATAAACTATCATATATATATATATATATATATATATAGGCTATATATAATTCTCATACGCTGGGGAAGAGATGGCAAATCCACTTCCCCCATGATTGTGTACACTTTCAATGCCCAGCACATCTACCTCCTCGGAGGTAGAGCACTGAAGCATTGATTTCTCTCCCCGGGCGGAAGAGACCGCAGCGCGGGCTTCCGAGACCGGAGAGAGAGCACTGGATCCCTCGTGGAAAGGGAGGAGATAAGATCCGCGGACCCGTCTCCAACCCCGTAACGAGATCCTATTCGCGATCCACAGGAATGCATTCTCCGCGCTGCCTCGGCAGACGCGTGTCCTGCACCCCGAGGATCGCGAGCCTGGCCACTTTCCTCGAAAAGTGACAGGCGGGAGTGGAGCATGCGAAGCGAAAGCTTCTCACAATGTTGCAATCAGCCCCCTCGGAGGCTGATACCGCATGCTCCACTCCCAAACAAACTACACAAAGCTCGTGTGTGTCCCCACCCGTTAAATAACGCGGGCAGGGAGAAGCACAGAGTTTGTAAAGTTGTTTCGCCATAACTCTTCCCAATAATATCGAACAGACAACAATAAATAGACAGAGACAGAGTAACACAGATCGCTTGCTGAGACACAGAAGCTAATGCCGCGTTTCACCGGGTGAGCCTTTATCCCTTCCTGGTCATGACGTCACCCGCCCGTGACGCTCATTCTTTCCATTGGACTAGTTGACATTGATGCTCAGACGCATTCACGCTGGGGGCGTTCCCAAGGCGTCAAGTGACGCATCGAGAGTTCCCTCGAAAGGGAACATGAGATTTACATATTGGGTAATTTAAAACAATGTAAATAAAAGAAAAAGTGTGCTTTAAAATCTTGAAATCTTAATCTCAATGGTTAAACTTATGACGACATTTTCAGTACAGTGAATACATATTATTTGTATTAATTGTTAAGTAATTGAAAATGTTAAGTAATTGAATTAAGCTATCCAGGGCTTTGATTAAAATCACTTTGACACAGATCTACCATACATGTTTTTAAAGTAATTCATAAGCTGATTATGCTGATTTGGATATCAATTGCTTGTTCTTTGAAGTGTGAGAATTGTGAACAGATAATGCACGGAAAAGATAAATGCGGCATAGCTTAGTGTCTATAAAATCTCCTATTACGTTTGTGACATTCGTAGATCAGATCGCATCTTTTAATGCGAGTGCAGATTCTCTGTAATATGTTGCAGAGCCTAGAGCATTTTATTCAAACAATCTATTTTTCAGTGCATTTTCTTTCCGATAACAACATATGCATGTTGTAGCAGACCTAGAGAGATTAAAAGTGGCAATATTATATTGGGGATAGCTTTTCCTCCTTCAAGCACAGCTTTGTTGCGTTGCTCGATTCAAATAATCCGTAATGACAGGTAGAAGATGAATTACCAGAAGTGCTTCTCCTACTTACAGTGGTGTGTAACACTGTCGTCCGGGTAATGAAAGTGCACCATCTCATCCCTCCTTCATATTTCCACGTTCTTCTTGATTGAATTTGAAAGTATTTTAATGAGTTCTTTGTTGGAAATAGCTCTTTTTTATTTGGGAGATTTCACTTTGTAGAATATTGGGGAAATGCCATGTCATAACATTCAAAGACGGGGTCCAAGTATACCAGCTGCTTTACTGAACCACTTCCATGGGATAATTTCCAGAGATGCTGATGTGCGCACAGACTGAGGCTATTCTCTCTCACAATCTTAATAATGTAAGTGGGAAAATCATTTTGAAATTGCTTGTAAAAGGTCATTTCATAAAATGCTATTTCTTTTCATGATGACAGCTGCCCTTATTTAAATTTTTCTCTTTTTTTGGTCCACTTCCTTCTGTATGAAATTCAAATCATATTTTTAATACTTATTTTAAAGGCAGAGATAAAAGCTTATGACATACGCCTTGAGTACTTTTTGTTCTGCAACAAAAAGCTGAGAAACAAAGCACAGAATGCAGGGTCGGTTTCAGTGCCGGTGTGAAGAAGAAGACTGATGATGACTACGGTTGTAATGAGTATTTCATATAGCACAGCAGAAGTCCCAAAGAGTGCTTCCTAGAGAAGACTTTAAACTGCTCTCACACAAAGCCTTACCTGATAAGACAATCCAAGCTTATCGTGCTCAGCGGTGACGGGAAAGAGAATGACAGGGAGGATTTTCCGTCTTTACTTTCCTCTTTGTGGACACCTTTGAACTCCTGAAGGCTAGCTCATCACAGTTCCCAAAGAACTGTCCAGTTTATAAAGTGGTTTATCATGGTGCCATGTGAAATTGAGAGAGATCATTCGAAATTCAAGCAAGCAGTCATCATCCCAATTGCTGGTATAGCACATGCCAAATGCAATATTACCATGTTTTACAGCAGCTGAGGGCGTAGCTTATGAAATTACCGACAATTATATTCTGACATAAATTCAACAACAGCTTCAGCCATACATTAATAATGTGTGTTTTTGTGACATAATTTTGACATAATTCTATCACTTTTGCCCCTTATGAATTGCAAAACAGCAGATGGAATTAAGGGCGTTTGCTGGAATGAATCAATCAAACATCTGGGTCGGGAGGCCTCTGTCATTACTCCTGATTTAATGTGATAGATCCCCTTTCAGAAGGCCACCCCAGCTCCATCCATCACCTGTGCATGAGGTTACTCACTATTTCTCAGCTAACTGAGAGGACAGGCTCTTATAGAAGAAAGGCGCATAGTGACTGGAGGGTGTTTTGAAATACATTGAGTGTGAGATTGTGCCAATGCCTTTTGAGGCATCTGCCTATTTTAGCGTATGCATAATTGCATAACGCAGTGCTTAAAAATAAGGACCGGGGGTTGAAAGAATTATAGAGAGAAAAAGCTTGAATACTTAATTGCCTGTAACTGCATGAATTAAATGTGTTATTTTTGAATGCATTGTGAGTTTCTGCTGGTGAGACAAAGAAGAGCATTAGTCTTGACCTGTCGCTTAAGAAACAAAATAGTTTCTGTCGGGGCTAATTAAAAACAAGTTTTTTAATTGCTTCATCAGCTACTCATCTTGCAATAAATGGCACAAATAGTATTTTGCTCTAAGGAAGATCCATTTGGTCTACTAGGCTGTGTTTACGTCAACTACCGGTTCCAGTTTATTAGCCCACATGCCATTTTTCAAACAACAATTTATGTCTACTTTAAAAGGTGACTTGGCGCTCTAATGTATGTCTTTGCATTAATGTCTCACTACAAGATATAGCTACAGTTAAATTAAAGGCCTGTTTGTTTTCATTGTGAGCAGTTTGGATTGCATCAGTCGGCTTAAATAAAACTGTGCTAAGAACTAATTTGACATATAACATGTAGGTGGACAGAACAAGCTAAATGTTTTAAACACAAGCCAAGCCTGCTGTATCCTTTCATACTTTCCATTAAAATACATTTTAATAATATATTTCATAGACTTTGAACAAATTGATTTAATTCACTTAATATGTAGACATATGGATCAGTAGTTAATATATGTCTGATTGACTACTCATAAAAATATCATTCATATAGATTTAGAAACATTTGTTTTTCATATGTATGATATATTTAGTCAATTATATGTCATGTGGTGCTCTGGAGGAAACCTAGGAGTGGCAAAAATTACAAAAATGCACGAGTCACCAAAGCCTGGGGGTATTGTTTGTCTGTCTTTTGCCTTGAAGGATTTCAGAGCTTTGTGGCAGTATTTTCTTTTTCTTTTTCTTTTTTCATTTAACTTTTTTTTTCTCCTCCTCTTTTTTATGAAAGGTATTGGTTGTAACCACAGGGCAGGCTTCTATGAGTCTTTCTGTCAGGGCAGATTTCTGTCACGAAGTGTTTATTGAGCGTAGCACCTGTCAGCTGCACATTCTGAGGCAGCTCCCAACGCATGGTATTCACCCCCCAAATGAAACATGCTCCGAGAACCTGAGGCTAGAGATGCAGCTTGGCAGGGGCACTGGTTGCCCTGCAGGCCTCCTTCTATCATGTCCAAAACAGTCGAGAAATGTTAATGTAAACAGATCATTAGGGACAAGCCTGTTTACTGTCTCTGTTTTTCTCATGCAGGGAATTTGGCCGATGGAAAGTGAATAACTTGGCTGTAGAGCGACGGGATTTCCTGAACTCCCCCTTGCCTCTCACCCCGGAGTTTATAAGGAACATTCGACTCCTGGGACGCAGACCCACTGCCCAGCTAATTACTGACAACCTGATCAAGAAATATGGGACCCATTTTCTACTGTCAGCTACACTAGGAGGTAGAAATGTAAAAAAAAATTGTGACACATCCTCCTGGTGGTTTAGCACAAAGGTCATTATACCTACTTTGACCGAGCTTGAAAACCAACTCGTGTTTTCTTTTCTTTTTTTCAAAAGAAACACTGATACATCTCATGCATATTTACATCTCAATTTCCACACTTATCAAGCCAAGGAAAATCACTTGTGACAAGTTTTGCCTCCTACTGCCTCATAATGTATTACTTCTTCCACTGTGTGTTTGGAAGGGGAGGCAGGTGTAAACAGAAGGCATCTTTGTCCGCAATAGGTTATCTTTCTGAAATCTGCACACATTATTTTGCTCAGTTCTCAAACTCGCAAAAACCTACGCTTACAAGTAGCTTCACGTAATGCAACAGTATTGGCTGTACACAACTGATGTGGCTTTCACTGCTCTGCAAAACAAGCAATATTGTGTAAGGTTAGAGCATGAAAATGGAGATGCAAGTCCTGGCTTTGCAGCAGAGATTTGCCTGGAATACAAACTGGCAGAGAGAATCACAGAGCATATACAGTATAATAATCACACTGATCTGCTTTATCTTATAGGGCTGGGAACTGATACAGATTTCCTGATTTGATTCTGCTTTACAAGCTCTCAGTTCGATTTCGATCTATTTATAGAAGTTAAAATGTCCATTCTGCTTACATTATCTGCCAGTGCTGTAAATTATAAAACGCAGTGTTTCAGGATTATTCAAACCGGTAACTCGTCTTTTTTTAACTGTTCATTAAAATAACCAGCTCATAAGAGTCATGTGTTTTGGGAATCAGGCTACACTTGTTGTGCAAAGGTTTATGATTCACTAAAAAGAGCCAGTTCATAAGAGTCATTTGTTTGTGAATCAACAAAAGAACATTTCTAGCCATTAATTTGTGGTACAAGGTCTTTTTTATTGCTTTACAGTCAATACAAACTGTGAACTCACATTTCAAACTCAACCCAAGATAAATTATGATTTCCTTTGCCATGGTGCCGAAGATTCAACTGGAGTCTTCAATACTGAAAAGCAGTGCTGGAAGCACTGATACTTGATACACAGCCCCCGAAAATAATTGTAAGGAATGATCTTGGGATTTTAATAATCAACGTAATGAAATAATAAAGGATTGTTCAAATGAAGATAATGGTTAATCAGAAAAACTTGATTTTTGCTTAGCCCTGTAATAGTCATCAATCAGCTTAGAGAGGAACAGCTTACATCAGAATCCATAATAGATTCTGCAGGTGCACAAAATAGATAATTTCTTACTGTAAACAATTTTATATCAGTCTCTTTCATTTTGTCTAGGAGAGGAGGCTCTGACTATATTTGTGGACAAGAGGAAGTTGAGTAAGAAAGCAGAGGCGAGTGACTACACAAGTAACAGCACGGCCGTGACTCTGGAGGCCCTGCACCAGCTGGCTGCCTCCTATTTCATAGACAGAGAGAGTACTCTGCGAAAACTGCATCACATCCAGATTGCTTCCACTGCCATCAAGGTATGTCATTAGTCAAGTCAGAGCCCACAGCTTCGTTCTTTCAACTCCTCAAGAATAATAATGTACAGTGTAGCAAAGTGCATTTTATTTCACTATCCCTGTTGCCATGATCCTGCTATGAAAAGTGTCATATGCTATGAGTGGGTATCTAGAGATGTCCATTCACTGCTGTATATGACAGGTTCTGCGATGTGAGAAAGGAAAACTAGCTCTGGTTGCACATGTTATTCAAGAATGAGATTTATATATGGCCTACGATGCTGAGTATGGAGTTGTTTGTGGCATTATTTCAGTGTTGCAGTAAATATTGCAACACTGAAATTTAAAAGGGCTTTAGTTTTTAGTAAATTATCCAGCCAACTTACTAATGGATTGCCCAATAATCACATTATCAAAGAATTTTCACTGACTCTGTCTGTAATTCTCTATAACAAGAAAGATGAGAGTTTAAGAGATTTTGGTCATCAGTCTTGACAAAATATCTGGTTACTGCATTTTGCCTTTGCATAGCAGTATTTTGCCTAATTTTACTGTACTATATGGAAGCTTGTTTCCGCCACAGAATAAAACATTTTAAAAGATAATTGTGAGTTTTTATCTTACAATTGCGAGTTTACTTCTCACAATTCTAACTTTATTTTTCAGAATTGCGAGATATAAAGTCAGAATTGCGTGATATAAAGTCAGAATTGTGTGATACAAACTCACAATTGCTTGATATTAAGTCACAATTGTGTGTTATAAAGTCAGAATTGTCCGTCTTTTTTTCCTTAGAATTGGACTTTATAACATGAAATTGCGACTGTATATCTCGCAATTCTGACATCTTTTCTCAGAATTGTGAGATATAAACTCGCAATTGCGAGTTATAAAGTCCAATTCTAAGGAAAAAAAGACGGACAATTCTGACTTTATAACACACAATTGTGACTTAATATCAAGCAATTCTGACTTTATAACTCGCTTTTGCGACTTTATATCATGCAATTCGAGATGTAAACTCACAATTGTGAAAAAAAGAATTGTGAGATAAAAAGTCACAATTATCTTTTTTATTTTTTATTCTATGGCAGAAACAATCTTACATAGAATTATTATTTGTATTTTGTATATTTTTGTATTTGTATCTTCTATAACCAGCTCTAGATGGTCACTGAAGTCTCAATAGTTATACCCAGACTTTGTGACTTCAGTGACCATCTAGAGCTGGTATCATGATACCAGCTCTAGTATCATGATAATTCTGACTTTATATCTCGCAATTCTGAAAAATAAAGTTAGAATTGTGAGATGTAAAATATTAAGCTTTTATATTATTATATATGATATATATATATATATGTATATGTATATGTATATATATATTTATATATATATATATATATATATATATATATATATTATATATAATAATATAAAAGCTTAATATTTTGCTTATTATATATTCAGTTCAATAAAAGCAAGCAATACATATACTAAAGTACTTTAGTAGGCTATATGTATATATTGCTTGCTTTTATTGAACTGAATATATAATAAGCAAATTATTAAGCTTTTATAAACGTGCCTTAGAAGAAAGCATTATTAGTGTGCATCTTGAGACAAAACAATGCCACTGACATATTTTAAGGTATGTCAGTGCAAGTTGCTTTCAGTTAAAACGGCTCAACCGTGCCTTTTAGTCTGGGACTTGTCTGTGAAACCAGGGGTAAGTGTACTGAAAAAGAAAGTGACAAATGAAAATATAAAGAAAAATTGAAGAAAATTAAAAATAACACTTGGACATATTTTTTCCTAAAGTATTACAGGAAAGGGCTCATCAATAAGTAAACATAAAACAAAATAACTTGAATAATTTTTAATATAATTTTCTTTATTACGTCTTGATATCATGTTTGCCATATGCCATGCCTTACTTTCTTAATATTTATATAAAGATAATAAAAATTCTCACAGGTCAGCACAAACTATACCCATTTTAATACCCAAAGAAAGCTTTATGCTTCATATTTGTCATATATAATGATTCATTCAATGCACTACTTGCAGTTGCTGTTACACTTTTGCTGACAGCCATTAAAATTGGTCACACAAAGCTGTACAAATCCCCCAAACAGACATTTACTCTATCATAGCAGTGCACTGTTTGACACATATATTCCAGACCACACTTTGATGACCCCCCCCCCCCCATTCCATTCCATCCCATTATATACAACAGCGCTTTCCCTCGGCACAGAACTGCTGCAGTGCTTAGACGGTTTTATTACAGTTGGGAGGGCAGATCTCAGGTGTCAAGGCTATGTTTGTCTATTGCTGGTGAGAAAAGCAAAAGAGCTCTGTGAGTGACGGAAGCAGCCTGCCAGGCAGGACGGTGAAGCTCCAACCGTGCAAGAGAATGAATCGCAGAAGCAGCAGGGGCCTCTGACACATGCATCATTTCCACAGGGCGTTGACCCATGTCTACATTTCACGGGACAGACAGAGGCGAACGTTCCTCCATATGAATTCTAGATTAAACAGAGCTGGAGTACAGAATGAGGTTGCTAGCTCCCCCCACTGGGCACCGTGGTGGGGGAATTTTTGCTATTTCCTTTCATTGGAAAAGCCTATTAGTGTGGCGGTATGCTGGGACTGTGAGAGGAAAACACAAGAGCGAAGTGCTTTACAAAGTTAGGCTTTATCCCACCTTTGTGGTCCTGCTCAGGTTGTTTGTCTAATGCGTGAAATCTCGAGCCATTCTGCAATCGGCGGGGATCATTTTGCTCTTGATTTGACAATTTCTTCATACCAGATCAGCTCTATGCCAAGCCAGAATTGAATTTACAGCTGCAATACCTTCTGAAACACACACCGCATCATATTTGTAACCGCAGGGAGACGCAAACTCTTTTGCAGAGAATGAACTGTTGTGTTCTGTTATAAGTAACATTTTTTGAAGCAAAACTATCCATCCCATGCAACAGGAATTTTGGCTAATGTTCTGGCAAGGTGCTCTCAATGTAATGAACAATTCTTCCAGTAACAGAAATAGAATGTTCGTTCAAAGTTGTCTGGTCTTTAATAATGTTCTCAAAACGTTAACATAAAAACATCATTTATACAACCTTCATGGAACGGTTTACTTGGACATTCATCCAACTCGACGTTTTCATAACCAAGAAAAAACTGTTTAAAACATTTAAAAAATGTAACGTTTTGAAAGTTCAGATAACTTTTTCAGAAATGACGTTTTCATAACTTAATGTGAATGCTTGCAAAATGCTCTAAGCACATATTTTGTTAGCTGGGATGCTACTCTCAGCTGATATGCCCCATTCTGACCAGTCTGTTTTTGTGTTTGAACAGCATATTCAGTCAGGTGGTCTCTTCCTGTCTCAGTGAGCAGTTCGTAACCAAAGTAAACTGCATAGGGGACCAAACTTTTGCCACAGGTCAAAATCCTAGCTGTGCGAGACCATCCATTGAAAATCTGGATATTGTGACTCTTGTTTAGTGGGGTTTTCAAAAAGAAATGCTGAAGCTGTGGTATTTGTCCATCTGTGAAATTGAAGTAAAAAATAACAACCTATAAGCAAAACTTGGTAGCTTATACCTCCTGTCAGAATATTGTTTGAAGTATATTGAGATATTTGATTGATCCTTAATAGCTGCTCGCTATGCCGCCTGAGATTCAACAGCAGACTGTTGATGTTTCACATTAAGCCAGAACAGCAGAGGATCACGCAAGTCCAGGTGGCCTATAATTTGCCATTACAAGGTATTTTGCGACATGCAAAATATTTGCTTTGAATAACAGCTGTTATCTGTAAAGGAAATCTAATATCATGCTCCAGTTGATTCATCAATTAGTACCCCTTTACCATATGGCCCATCATATTGTGCATTAAATAATAAAGCATATAGATGTATCATCTGATTGTATCAGATATGGTCATTGTAAAAAAAAAAAAAAAAATTGCTGCTGAGCTAAGCTTAGCGCTTTATTGCAGTTCAAGCTTTTATTCAAGCAATGGATTCAAGCCGTATATTCTGTGGTAACTAGGATTTGGTCAGGATAGTAGAGTACGCTACTTGTCTATATATTTATATATATATATTTTATCTTATGCATTTTTATTTATTGTTAATTAATGAATTCATTAATTTATTCAAATTCTTAAAAAGCAACATACCGTATTTGATCAAAAATACAGTAACAACCGTATTTTTTGTGAAATATTAATACATTTTAAAATGTAATTTAGTCCTGCGATGGTAAAGCTGACTTTCCACTATCCTTACTCCAGTCTTCAGTGACACGCGATTCTTAAGAAATCATTCTAATATGCTGATTTGCTGCTCAAGAAACATTTATTATTATTAACACAGTTGAAAACAGTTCTCTGCTTAATATTTTTTGTGGAAACAGTGCATTTTCTTTTCAAGATTCTTAAAAAAAAAAAAAAAAACTTTTTGATAACAATTCAAGAGTCTTTACTGTCACTATTAGTTAATTTACTGTATCCCTTCTGTGTAAATATCTTTTATTAATTTCTTTCCAAAATAAATCTTACTGACCCCCGACTTTTGAACAGCAGTGAAAGAGTATATAAGGTTGTATAACCCTGTGCAACATTAAAGGTCAAGATTGTGTCGGGAAAAAAAAACCTTACCCCAAACATTGAACACCCATATAGTGCAAATCTACTTGCTGCAGAGTTCCCTGTTACCAACGCTGGACTCTTCAGTGGGTTTGTGATGGAGTGGCAGAAGACAACCTTGTCTTACCTTGTCAAACTGTCAGCCTGGAAAAGATATCGTCTGACAGGCTGAATCGAAAGAGATCACTGAATTGATGAAGGTTCACTGGCACCATAAGAGAGAAAAGTGTGAATCAATTATGCGTGCTTCTGCGTGTCATGAAGAGAGAAGGATGACTAGAAAAGAGAAGGGAAAAATTGAGTGTGATCTCTTATTGCAAATGCGGATAATAGTGGGGCTAGCTTGCAGAAAAGGTCAATTGAGATGCCTGAGTCAATAGGGCTACACAGAGTCTGACCATTATTAAGTACCCTCAGCTAAGGTTAGATAATGTTTTGCATTGTTGAGAGAAATGGACTTCTGTTTTCTGTGTGGGTGTGAAAGGATCTCTGAATAGGGAAGCTAATCAATTAAACATTTCATAACAGAAAGGGGAAAAAACATTGCACAACAGCTTGCTTGGCTCTCTCAATAAGATGAGAAGAACTGAGTGATTATCTGTGAGAGGACCACCACTGCATGTGCATTATCACCATGTCTGAGACAAGTGAGTCAGCAAGCACAAGAAGTTCTTATAATGCATCTGTTCACCGCCAGGCTGCTTTATATTCCTTTTAACAAGGAACACAGGGGAAAGGAGTTTATTTTTCATGTAAAATACCACAGTACAGTAACCATATGATGAAACTAATAATTCTGTGGTCTAAATTTTGTTTCCCAGGTAACTGAAACAAGAACTGGCCCTCTCGGCTGCAGTAACTATGACAACCTTGATTCTGTCAGTTCTGTGCTGGTTCAGAGTCCCGAGAACAAAGTCCATTTGCAAGGTATAAAATAATTTGTTCAAATCTAGTATTTTAAGTTCTAATACTGTGAGAGACATTTTTTTTTTAATGTGAAACACAAAAGGCTCTTTCCAAAAGCTAGTGAGCTCCTGTAAAATTATTGCTCTTGACAGGACAAATCATAGTGTAAGATACCTGATTTTGCTCATAAGTCCATTTTGACATTGTGTAGTGTATGCATATGCCAGGCTGGGAGGGAGCTCACTAGGTTTTGGAACAGAGTCAAAATCGTTGTACTTGTACTTAAAAAGTACCACATGACCCTCTTTATCAAACCGCTTAACTCAGGTGACCCAGTATTCTCATAACAATCTTTCTTTTCTTTGTATCTGAAGGCTTGCAGGTCATTTTGCCAGATTATCTCAGAGACACTTTCGTCCAAGCAGCTCTTAGTTACATTGCCTGCAATGGAGAGGGAACATTTGTCTGCCGAGACAATGACTGCTGGTGCAAGTGTGACCCCAAGTTCCCAGAGTGCAACTGCCCCTACATGGATATTCAGGCCATGGAGGAAAGCCTTTTGCGAATCTCTGAATCATGGGCTCTTACCTACAAAGAGTTTGAAGATTCAGGTAAGAGATTAAATTCAATCATATTTCAATTGAATACTTGCACTTTTTATTCAGTTTTATTTGTCCTCATGAAGAAATGTCTCAATCACCAGCCCAGCTAACAAAAATTTGTTTTAAAAATGTTTTGCAAACGTTCCCATTAAGTTATGAAAGCGTTATTTCTAAATGTTCTCTGAACTTTCATAACGCCCATTTTTTAAAAATGTATTAAAACTTTTTTTTTTTTTTTATACGACCATTAACATTACATTTGATCATTTTGCAAACAATATGGGAACATTACTTTTAAACGTTGCCTGAACATTCGGACACATGTAGTAACATTTAAATAAAGTTTGATGAACATCCAACTAAATCTTTTAGAAAAGAAAAGAAAAAAAAAGAGAATTTTTTTTTTTGTGCTTACGTTTTGAGAACATTATTATTATAGACCAGATGACTTTGAGGGAACATTTTATTAACGTTATTCAGCAAGGATGCAATAAATTGATCAAAAATGACATTTATAAAGTCACACTGGAATAATTTTGTTCATAACTGAGAGAACCTTGCCAAAATATTAGTCAAAGTTCTGAGAACATTCCCTGTTAGCTGCATGGACTGCACAGTCTTTGACCTAAAGCAATACATTTTTTATTAATTGTAGCATATTATAGCATATTTTGAAATGCTATTATAGAATTATAATTATTTGTTATAGTATTTTATATAATTATGTAATTTACTCCTGTCCAATCATTGCTGATGATTAACTACTTAACTAACTTAACTAGTACTTTCAATAAAGTAATTTGCTCTATAGGCCAGACTGATGAAACATGAACAACTTTTAGTGAATCCTGACATTCGCCACACAATGCCCTTCAGAGACCACGTTAGATTAGAAAAAAGATCCTGCTCAACATATTGCCTTACAGTATGTTGAGCAGGATTAATCACCCATAAAATGCTTTATTGCCCGTCCAGCATCTTTCATCAAGCGTATGAATGAGAGCACTTAGCATAATGTTTAGGTACTGTATTACTGTCTGTTGAGGTCAACCCACAGTGACCATTAATGCTTGAGCAAAATTATAACGCATGGATTTTTTTTATTTCACACTCTCATCTTTTTTCCGACTTCCCAAAATATCCCAGAGTTCAATTACTTTCGAAGCTTATGTTATTAAAGCTAACAGGAAGAGCCAGGTATACATACTTTCTCAAGTATCATAGATGTGTCCTTCTGTTAGGGACATCAAAGGCATTCAACATTCTGCCCCATCCGCTAAAATGAAATGCTTTGAAGGAACTGCTCGAAAAATGTCTCTTCAGTGAAACGATTCCTTCTTATTGTCAAGCAGAGTGAAGTATAAAGGCAGCGCATCCAGGCATTTACCCATTGTTCAGTCAAGTTTACATGACAACACTCCTATATCTGAAATAACTTTTCCTTTCTTCAACAGATGAATTCAAAACATTTCTGATGAGGCTGCCGCAGAATTTCTTCCTCAACTCCTCAATGATCCAGCATTTGTGGTCGCTGGATGGTGTGTTTCAGCGGCGCTATGAGCAGCTGGAAAGCAGCATGGAAAGTATCTTCAAGCGAGCCCAACGAGTGGTTTACAAGCTCTTCAGCCTCAGCAAGAGGTGCCAAATGCAGCCCCACATCAACTTACCGCGTGAAAGGTGAACACAACAGACTCATTATCTCCTCATTGTTGTGATGATAAATACACTGGTACTTAATTCTGAAATGGAATAATGTCCTCATTTACTGCATCAAGAGAGGAAAGTCTTCACGTAGTGTTTATCATCATTACTTGTGTTCATGAGTGGCCCGCATTTCAGACTCCATGGGTTGCGGAGAGGAATTTTGTCAGCGTGCTTCAGAGTGAAAAGAAGCACGAGTGTTCCTGTCTCTTTTGTGTTTACCCACGATCAATAAGACTAGAGCTAGTACAGTGGTTCTCAACTGGTTTTGCTTCAGAGGCTACATTGGATACTTCACACCAACATAGTTTAAACAAATGTAATCTAGATTGTATTTGCATTTGCCTAATTTGTCTTTGGATGTACAGCCTCTGACATCAACAAAGGATATAGGAAGTGTTTTCTCCCTTTTCAAATAGTTACAAGCCTAATTATTGTGCTATCCAAACTATACACAGTTATATGGTTAATAAGAAAAATGTTAAAGGGATAGTCCACCTTAAAATGAAAATTATTTCATAATTTACTCACCCTGGTGTTGTTCTAATGTCGTATGCCCTTTTTTCTTTTATGGCCCAGAAAAGGATTTATTTATTTATTTATTTTATTTCATTTCATGTTGCGTTTTTGTTCATCTTGATTTCTCACAACTTGTGTGTTTTTTCTGGGGGACACGGAGTAAACTGCGGCACTAATAGAGTCTCACGAATGTGCATGTCTTGCAGCCATGCAGAGAAGACCAAACCCATAAAAGGTCAAAAGTTTTGTTAACCCTCTGGGGACCAAGGTGTTTTTGGGGTCCTTGAGATGTTTTGACATGCCCTGACATTTATGCTTTTTTCAGTTGCTTATAAACATATTAATGGCACAGGTGAAATTACACTCTATTTAGCACAAACAGGGCTACCATAATATGTGAAAAACATGTATGTACATTGTACATGTTTGTATTTTTGAGAGAATATTGTTTATGCATGGTTATTGAAAAAAACTAAAAATTAAAGTTTCTGAAATAAAGCCACAAAACACATACTAAATATGTGTCCACAAGACTTTTGACTAATGGAAGTTGTGGCCTAGAGTTTTTGCTTCAAAATGATCTGAAAATCATCCTTTCTAATCATTCACATAACACAATAGATTCTTTTAAATTGTGAAAAACATTATTTTGTTAGACAAGGCAATATGCGAATGGGCGTGAACGGCCCAACCCCATTGTGAATAATTAGGTGGTTGAGAAGACAAAGACGACCCGCATATTAATGAGCCTTTCATTCAGGTGTGTCACACAAGAAAGAATGCAAGGACAATATACACACACACACACACACACACACACACACACACACACACACACACACACACACACACATATATATATATATATATATATATATATATATATATATATATATATATATATATATATATATATAAAATCAAAATATAAATGAAAGTCAAAAGCACATTTTTAGTCATACCTGGAAACAAATCCTGTTCAAATAGGTTATATGGGCCATTCTACAGAATTGGTTCAAAGTTAGAGTTGGAAACATCTTGAAAAGAAAATTGTCTTTTTCCTTAAATGTCTTAGTAGGCCAATACATTTTATCATACATATTTCAAAGTTAAGGATTCATTATTTTGATATAGCTTGCATTGGAACAAACACTATTCTTAGTTGATTAGTTTATTCACAAAACATACTATATATTTAACATATGAGCACAAACTGCTAACAAAAGCTTATTTGATGTCTATTTTAGAGTTAAAACTTTATAATCTATCCAAAACTAGTCACACACACACACACAGAAACATGATTCAAATTTAAACAGTAGGCTATTTTTGCATTTACAGACACTTACGTTATTATATATCGCGATTAGAACAAAGCACAAAAAGAAAAACACTTACAGTTCAGCTCGCTCCTCGAAGTGAAAATAAACCAGCACTTGTTCTGAGGTAGGTAAATGTCCCAGGATTATTCCTCACAGCCGCGCAGGACGACAGTACACTAATCTGACTAAATATAGTGTGTTTACAGAGTTTATATGGGCGTTTACACGTCTCAATGTGTTGCTTCAGATCATTAGCGTTTGAATAGCGTTCGCTCTCCGTGGGCGTGTCGCATTAGCGGAATAATGAGATGCGAGAACGATAATGAGAACGGCTGACACCTCTCTCTTTTTATATAGGTTACATAAACAGGGAATATTTATTTTAGTTTTAAATTAGATAATTTAAAAGTACAAACTTAAATGATCATAAACATATATTGCTCATGTCTGGGTGAATAGTATTCGCTGAGTTTTGTTTAAGTTTAAGAGACGTGCTCCAGAACAAAAGTTCACGGACACGGAGAGGCAGAACGCACACCCTGTTTATTTTCTTTATTTTACAAAAGCACAATATTTTATTTTGATTGTAGGTGGGCACATAAAAAAGTAGACATTTAACGGTTTTTTTTTATGTTTCATAACTCTGTATGACCAGAAATGATGGAGTAGTTTAAGTCTATTTTTCTGCTATGTGAAAAAAATCTGCCAAAAACGCACGGGTGCGTTCTTGGTCCCCAGAGGGTTATATAATACATACAATTTCGGCTTGTTTTTCATAAAACCCTAATATATCCCCAGAATAATTGGAATATACGGCACGTGTCGTATGGGATCATTCTGTGATACTTTTGCATATTTTTTTTAAAAAGTGTAATGCTTGTTGCTATTCTCTGCCATTGTATTGAGTTTTTTTTAATTATCCTTTTGTGGTCCATAAAATAAATAAGGGCATACTACATTAGAACAACACCAGGGTGAGTAAATGATGACTTAATTTTAATTTTAGGGTGAACTATGCCTTTAACTAATTAAATCACAGTTTTCTGTGATTAATCACAAATTTCGTCTAACGGTAAAATTCATAAATGAATCCTAAATGTACTATTTACATATTTAATACCCAAATCAATTAATCAGAGAAATTAATGTATCATTCAAATTATTAATTTAAATTATTTTGTCATTATTGTATCATTGCCACCCATTTTTTGAACCCACCAGTTGAGAACCTGCGGTTTAATGCAGTCTTCAAATTTATTTGACTTTTTTCAAATTCCTTTGGTATCAGAACATTTATAGGTTTGCAAACATAAGACATTAAGCAATTGTGAGATGCTGAGTAACATTTTTTGCCAAATTGGCACCTTTATTCAAAGGAACAATATGTACTTGTCTTTCTTTGTAGAAAAAGTTTTTTTTTTTGGAACAGAATTATGTTTGTGCTAGTTTTAATCTTGCCATCTGCTGCTGTACTAGTTTCGGATACATGACAATTTAATCTCAACAATCAGCGTTTAGACAGACTAACTGATGTTTATATTATCTTTCCTAAAATATAGGCCACTGTCGTATTGGCTGAACTACTTTCAGTCTTTACTATACTGCTCTGAGAACAACCAGCTAGGCTCCTTCTCAGAAGAGTTGCACACCTGCATTTGTGCATACGACCACAGTTCCTGCCAGGTACCTACACCATGCTCTGTGGGTGAAGGTCCCGCTTGCGCTGCTTGTGCTAGCGACAACCATACTCGCTGCGGCAGTTGCAATGTCGGCTACATGTTAAGTCAAGGGTCCTGTCGACCAATGGTGGCGGATTCCACAGAAAACTACCTGGGCTTTGAGACTGATCTTCAAGATCTGGAGCTACGCTATCTCCTACAGAGAGCCGATCGACGCTTGGAGGTCCATGCTATCTTCATCAGCAATGACATGCGTCTGAATAGCTGGTTCGATCCTTCATGGAGGAAGAGGATGCTGCTCACGCTAAAGAGTAACAAATACAAATCCAACCTAGTCCATATGCTCTTAGGCATCTCCATGCAAATTTGCCTTACTAAAAACAGCACTCTGGAACCTGCACTCACTCTCTTCATCAACCCATTCGGAGGGAGCCACTCAGAGAGCTGGTTAATTCCTGTGAACGAGAACAATTTTCCAGACTGGAAGTCTGCTAAGCTGGACCTTCCGCTAGAGTGCTTTAACTGGACCTTGACTTTGGGCAACAAGTGGAAGACCTTCTTTGAGACGATCCACATTTACCTGAGGAGTCGCATCAAAACTCCAGGCGCCGGGATCAATGACAGCGTTTACCTGGAGCCTTTGGAAATGGCCGACCCTACAAGAAATCTGGGGTATATGAAGATCAACAGCATTCAAGTGTTCGGTTACAGTATGCATTTTGACCCTGAAGCAATCCGGGACTTGATCCTGCAGCTGGACTACCCGTACACGCAGGGCTCGCAGGACTCGGCCTTGCTCCAGCTGCTGGAGATCCGAGACCGGGTCAACCGACTATCCCCACCAGGCCAGCAACCTCTGGACCTGTTCGCCTGCTTATTACGCCACCGTCTCAAACTGACAGCTAATGAAGTGGTCCGGATTCACGCCTCACTCCAGTCCTTTAATTCCCGTCTCCCCAATTCTCTGGATTATGAGACCACTAAACTCTGTAGCTAACGGCTAAAGCATCATAGCAGAAAGCAATAGAACAACTGTACAAATGCAGAGTAGACTGTTAAAGTCAAAGCTGCAATGACTTTTAGTGGACACTGACAAAAGTTTTTTGTGACTTAACGTTCACTAGTAGATCATCTTGCTCAAAAGAACAGACTCATTTTTATTGTATAGTACACTGAGATCAAAGAGGAGGTTTGAAAAATATATGGAGTGTTTGTTTGTAATTTTTATATGTTTTTTTCTTTCTTTCTTTTGCTTCAGTGACAGTGCACTTTCCTTGGAAAGAATACAGTGATGTCAGTCAATTTTGTAGATAAATTGTTATTAAAACATCATGGTTGTAATGGAGTAATGGTTGCATTATTTATCAGCATATTTTTATTGCTATATGACAGTTTAGTTTATTGGAAAATGAAACGCATTTTATATTTGCAATTGAGTGCACTTAATGAGGAATTAAATACATTGAACATGATATACAACTTTGATAAAATAATAATGAAACAGATTTATTAATATAATTATGCTTGTTAGATCCATGTCTCATCTCTCATTGGAAGAGAGAATGGAGTTTTATTTTAGCCTACTCTAATCGTTACAGCGTGTGTTTTTTAAAATATTCACTATAGAAACAATGTCTTGTACATTAGCAGTACATAGAGGAGTTTATCTTGATTTTATTAGATGTTATTTTATTGCTATAATTTTCCCCCTATATTATACAGTATGTCCCATCTGAACCACATTGGCATGTTACTCGTTTATAAGTTGGCTTAGAACATTTTTTTTCAAAAAGTTCAACAAAAGACAGGTGCTGTGTCCGAAATCGAATACTCCCCTACTATATAGTATGCAAAAAACAATATGACAAAAGAGAATGTACATAGTATTCGAAAAACAGTAGACGAAAAGTACACAAATGTCCTACTGCTTCCACCAATATTCTGCAGTGCGCATTCGATGGATATATGAGGCTAAGGGAGAGGATTTATGAATTTCAGCGAAGCGAAGCAACTGATGCTTGTAGGTCATGTGACAGTAACATGCCAGATGTATGTCTGAAATTCATTCATATTAACCATATTCATAATATGCCTATAGAACATACGTTGTAACGGTCACAAAGCAAATTCAAATTCAAATGTAGTACCTGACAGTATGCGATTTCGGACCCAGTGAAGGTATAGATGTATTTGTTGTTGTTGTTGTTGTTGTTTTTTGTTTTTTTAGTTAGGGTCATGTTTAAAGGCATGGGGGATGGATCAAAAATATAAAGGGGTCTGTGAATATAATATTGGTCAAATTTGAATGGAACCACATATATGCAATGTTTGGGGCTGTATGTTTTTATTCACATTCTAACTAAACCTTGTTTATTTTCACAATTTGGAATTCAGGGTTTGTATTTGTCTAAGTCTGTTTTCATTATTTTTAATTCATATCTTTTCATTATATTTAATTCATATATTTTCATATATTTAATAGTTGAAAATTGGCTTATATTTACCATACTTTGTTACATCAGAACTTGTATCAAAACAGTTTCTCTGAACCATAATATATATATATACAGTATATATATATGATTACAAATGAGCCTTACATTGGAATGTAACAGTGATGCCAAAATGGGGCAAAGATTGTGGAATCCAGTGTGCCTTTGTGAATACACAGTATACAGTTTTGCTTTACTTATTTTGGCCACCTCAGTATATAATGCATATTATTTTGCTGTTCACGCTTGTCAGAAATGGAAATTAATGTGTTTTTTTTCCTTCGGTTCAGCTATTTCTCACTTTTTCTTGCATTACAGTACATTCCTTCAGACAGTGTGAATGCTAATTAGTTTGAATCAACACATGATGACAGATTACGTTAATGCCAACAAAAAAGTGTCAATCGCCTCTTCATAATCTGTGTTTGCACCTTTTACCTAGAATTAGCACAATGAATAAAATGAGCCTTACCTAACTCACTTAGCTACATCCTTTTTCAAAGTTTACATATTATTGTGCAGAATAATAAAGAAAATGTTTCAAGAACAACAACAGATAAATTGCAGACAAAGGAAGTTTTACATATGTAGAAAATCTGAGATTTACACTGCATAATGTCAAAGGATTGTACGCCAAAGGAAATTGTCTGTGCCGTTTGAAAAGATCTTAGATGCATAATAAGATCTTAGAGGCACTCTGTAAAATCCAAAAGAGTAAATGATCTACAGTTGTGCTTCCAGAGAAAAGAATCTTCTTAGAGTGAAGAACACTAATTTTATGTCTTCCTCGAGCATCTAACCGCAATGCAGCTACTGCAACATTTTTACATGTGAAACACCCCACGCTGTAGCAATTACTCTGCGAACACAAATGACCAAGGGAGCAGTTACTGCCAGAATGCATACACAAATCACCTGCGCGCTGCACCGAGAGCCTGTAAAATGAGAGCTTGTCAGTTGTGCTGAAATGAGTTGACACGTTCTTGTAATGACAAATATGACAATAAGGAATGGCAAAACATTACATAGGCAGTCGGTCTTTCTCGCAGCCTGACAAACAATTTATCATGCTGCTGTATTTGTAGTGAAAAAGCTGTGGAAAAGAAAAGACTGAGCATTGCATTATATTTACTGTGCAGCTCCTCTGATGAAGATGGAAAATTTTCCAACACAGACAGAGATTAAAGAAAGAGCATACATCAACTTAGTAGCTCTTTATTCACTAAGCGCTCTGAGGCAGTGCGCCAAAGCTTGATCAATAGTGGCCGTGTTGCCTGCTTGATCTCTTCAATGTAAACATTGTTATGTTCTTGTGATTCACGATGAAGATGCATTGCTAACTTGACACAAACTTTATCTTGGGCCTCACTATAGGTTTCTAGAGGGCCAGATACTGCAGTGAACAGGAGGCAGGCAAAAGGTAGCTGTCTTCTGCCAATAAATCAATGTGCAGCTTTATTACCTGAAAGAACAAAAGGATCTGCAGGGAGATCAATGTCACCAAGAACCACCGACTCACAAACCAGTGGCATTTTGTTGTCCAGGGTCAGGACCACATCAACATCAATTTATTGCTCACACTGTCCTTTCACTTGATGTGGTTTTTATGAACACAAATCAATCACGATTTTACATCCAATTAAAATTTACCATTCAATCGCATCATTGTAGTCCCTTTGCTGTCATTGTGGCAGAACTTTATATGCACACTCTAAACATGATGTTTAATTAAGGATTTTCTCATAATAAAGCAATATCAGGTCAATTAACATTGAGAAACATTTTAAAGTCATATTGCTCCTCCAATGAATAGTTCCATACAAGTCACAACAGAATCAAGTTAAAGCTGCAGTCCGTAGCTTTTTTGGGGTTAAAAATGATCCAAAATACATATTTGAGAAAATATCCAGCCAGCTTTCAAAATTATCTGCTTTCCTTAGCTCGATTCAAAGCGGTAAGCTTGTAACAATGTTTTTAATTTCAGTGGTACTGGTGGATTTCCGCGGGATATTCGAGCATGTCTTTGCGTCATTACGTCACATCTGTACACATAAAGAAGAGTCTCGGCTAGTAGGCTATATTGCGTGTGAGGATGCTGGAGGTGGAGATTTATAGCCTTTTCTCACAGCACTTGATATAATTAAACTTATCAATTTGATGGCGGATCCAGAAAGGTTCAAACGACAATCACCAGTGACAACAGATTCACCCGCTGTAAAGTGGATGTTTCTTACTAGTTCAGATGACATTTTCCGGTTTTCTTATGTTGGTCATACTTCCAAAAAGAATCATCTGTGATTCTGAATGCCAGTATCCACATCGGCGCAGTGACTGACAGTCTCCTCAAACATTGTGTTCATCCGCGCTGTGCCGTGTCGAGGGTGTTGAAGTACAACTCACGTAAAGTTAATAATTCCGTGAATGACTGCAATTGCAGATTTCGAACAGAGATGGCGACAAAGAGGAAAAACTGCGGACTGCAGCTTTAAACATCTGCGAGTAACAGTGTCGTTTCATTCCTGAATGAATCAGCGTTTGTGAACAAATCGGGTGAGTAAATGATTCAAATGACTCACTCATAAGACAGCTGCTTGTTTAGAATAAATTAGTTGTATGAATGATTAAAATGACTCACTCATAAAGACAGTCACTTGTCTACTGGCATAACAAAGTAACCTTTAGAAAGTCGCTGAAACAAACACACACACACACACACACACACACACAATTTAGTTACATTACAGATAGTAATGCACTTGCTAACCAGTTGCAGTTGATATTTGGAGGAGGGACATTGTCATTCTTGAGAGCATTTGATTGGACAAAAACCTGTGTAGTGCAAGATGAGTCATCAATTTTGTTCTGGTTTCAAGTTGTTGTTTTAGACTTTTCAATGTGCATATCTGCTAAAGGTTAGTCAACTTTTAGGAGTAGCAACAAACTTGAACTTAAATTTAAGATACTAAAATATTAGTGCATGTTACCATCGTACATTTCAAATTTTCACACACAGAGGATTTAAATAGACCATGACTAATACAAACTACTTAACAGTGAATAAACAAGACAGTCTTAAGAGCCAGAAGACAGAGAAAGAGAGAGAGAAAGTATTATCCTTAAACACATAAAGTAAAGAAACTAAATTATAGAGGTCACTGATCTTAGATACACTGAAGAAATGTATTGCCTCCAAAAAAAGCCATTTTAGGAATCCAGGGACTCTGCTGGCTGGCATAAACAAGTAAAAAAAGAAAAAAGAAAAGAGGACACCACTGTGCTAAAAGCTGTGGTTGGTTGGACTTGAGAAAAAAAAAGTTACTTTGACAACATTCCTGCTTTCAACATTAAAATCCAGCTACATACGCAGTACCCCTTTAGGTCCAAAGATATATATATATATATATATATATATATATATATATATATACACTCACCGGCCACTTTATTAGGTACCCCATGCTAGTAACGGGTTGGACCCCCTTTTGCCTTCAGAACTGCCTCAATTCTTCGTGGCATAGATTCAACAAGGTGCTGGAAGCATTCCTCAGGGAGTTTGGTCCATATTGACATGATGGCATCACACAGTTGCCGCAGATTTGTCGGCTGCACATCCATGATGCGAATCTCCCGTTCCACCACATCCCAAAGATGCTCTATTGGGTTGAGATCTGGTGACTGTGGAGGCCATTTTAGTACAGTGAACTCATTGTCATGTTCAAGAAACCAATTTGAAATGATTAGAGCTTTGTGACATGGTGGAAGTAGCCATCAGAGGATGGGTACATGGTGGCCATAAAGGGATGGACATGGTCAGAAACAATGCTCAGGTAGGCCGTGGCATTTAAACGATGCC